TGGAGAACTGTAGTTTGTAGCCGAGTCTGATCGTGCGTATGAGCCACCGCGAGGGGCTGGCCCGCGCTAACCAGGCAGGCAGAGCCCTCGCTAATGACGTCATCGCAGCAATCGTTGACGTACCCGCGGAGGGGCAGCGCGGAGCGGGTGTGCTGATCCGGGGAGCGCGAGGGTCCCGCAGAAGAGCTGGAGGAGAGCGATTCGCTCTGGCTCCGCACCCTGACTCCTGAGCGGGGGCTTGGGGGCTGGGAGAAGGGAGACCGTCCCCCCAGCGCCCGAGAGCCGCTGGCGGAGCATGCAAACCCTGCGAGCTGAGAGGCAGCGCGTCCCAGACTGGCAGGGCTTGAGCTGTCACATCCGGGGAAGGGAGAAAATGCTCTTATATCGAAACTTTGGTGGCACTGAAAAGTGCCGTTGGAATATGGGCCCCGCCCTCCAGCGGGGAAAGATCAAGTCTCCTTTTCTCCGGATGGCCTGTCTCAGGGCAGCTTCGCGGTCCGTTTACCGGACTTAGCGGCGCCCTGGGCAGGAGGGGCTACCGGCTTTCGGCGTGCTCGACGCGCCCGCTTCGGCGGGGGCGGGGCATCAGCCGTTGGCGGGCGCCCTCGCCGAGGAGCAGCGGAGGTGGATGGCTCGGCCGTGGATGGAGCGGGCTTACGGCCCCGCCGATAGATGACTTTGCCCATCGCAACCGACTGCTCCTTCACCGCCTTGAACTCCTGGGTGAATTCACCGACGGTGTCGCCGAACAGGCCAGCCTGGGATATGGGCGCGTCAAGAAACTTTGTCAACATCGCGCATATCTGCCAGGGTTAGCCAGAGGTGGCGTTCCTGGACCACAAGTGTGGACATCGTCTTCCCCAGTGCACACGTGGCGGACTTAGTGGTCCGGAGAGCATAGTCGGTCGCCGTGCGCAGCTCGTGTAACAAGCCTGGGTTCGACCCACCCTCGTGCAGCTCAGCCTGCGCCTGCGCTTGGTAGCGCTGGTAGGTGGCCATCACGTGCAAGGCGGAAGCTGCCTGGCCCGCAGCCTTGTAAGCTCTAGCTCAGAGGGAGGCAGATAACCTACTGGATTTGGACGGGAGACGGGGCGGACCGCGCAAAGCAGGGGCGTCACGCGGACAAAGATTGACCGCAATGGCGCGCTCCACCTGCGGGATCGCCTCATACCCCCTGGCAGCTCCACCATCCAGGGTGGTGAGGGCGGAGGCGGACGCAGTGCGGGCAGAGAAAGGTGCCCTCCAGGACTGCGTGAGCCTACTGTGCACTTCCGGGAAGAAGGGGACGAGAGGCTTCGAAGGCTTCGCCTTTTGATCCTCTACGTAACACCCATCTAGTCGGTCCGGCCGCGGGGCTGGGGGATAAACCATCTCCAACCCGACGGCCGAAGCAGCCCGAGAAAGCACGGCCAACATGTCCGCTTCAGGATCCGTTTTGACGGCGCTCGCTTGCCCAGAGGGGGCACGGCTCCTAGTGTTGCTCCTGTGCAGGCATACTCATCTTACACAGACAAACCCCAGTATTTTTAACACATGCTGGCATGTTTGCTGCAAACACTCCATGCTTTTTAAGAAGAGAAAATGAACTGCTTTACACATTTTTTGTATGTGGGTGTGTCGTTTCATGCATGTGTTACAGGTACGAACGGCATTGGAGGATCCGCATTTCGTGCTGATGACGTTGGCCGCTGACGCTGGGTTTGCTCCACCAATCGCTGGTTGGCGTAGCGTTTAAAAGCCGAGCCCAAACTGCAATGGCGATCTCTCGATCTCTCTCTCTCTCTGTCTCTTTCCTTCTCGCAACTTCTCGCTCTTATTCTTTCTGTGGGTCTCTGTGAGGACAGTCTCTCTTGCGAGGGCTAGTCTGAGAGAATGTGTTTTGCTTGTTTAATGCTCTTGTCTAAAGTTTGCGATTTAACCATGTTTGTGAAATTGTCCAGTTAACTGACATGTTTGAGTGATGCCTCGGAGAGGTGTAGGAGTGAGTAAGTTGCGCGATATACATATACAACACTCAGAGTGATATTTTGTATTAGTTCACTAGGTTCAGGAGAATGTGCTGTTTTCTGTATGTTTTGTTTTTAGTTAGAGCAGTTTAGTTAAGACGTTTGGTACGTTGAAGATACTGAGAAAACAGTTACTGAGTTTTGTTATATTTATTTCTTTGATTTAAGCACATTCAACTACTTCCTCTCCCCCCAGGTAATTCATTATTTAATCATTGTAAATATTTTTCTTTCACTGTATATATTTTCACTGGTTTTCATTGGATATATGGGCAATAAATAATTGCAGTGATTATTTGATTCAGTTTATTTCTTTCTCCATCCGCTTGTCACACACATTAAACTAATGTATGTTATTGTCATCTACTCCTAGTTTAATATTAACATCTAAAAGGACGTAACAGAGAGGATAAAATCTTTCTCAAAAATAGCAGAAACCATTTCTACTTCACCCACATCACTGTAGAGCTAGTGTTTGAATGATTCTCTAGCATAATGTCTAAAATTATGAGAAAACAGCAGATTTTGCTGACATTTTAAGATTATAAGGCTGAACAGCATGAAATGCCATCAGTCTAAAGATTTCGCAGTATTTCTCTGTTGCAATCAGAAGATCAAAATAATTAACCCCGAAAGCCAAAGCAAACACTAGCAGATTACTATTGTGTTTGTGATGAGGAAAAACACTTAATACATGCAGGCATTTCTTTCTAGTCTGCAGTACCAAAAACAGGAGAGCCATCAGAAAAAAACAGATGGCCAACCAAAAATTAACTCAGAGTTATACAAAGAGTGGCCAACACAAAATACATAAATTCCCATCCCACACACTCAACACTACAATTACTATAGTATAAATACAGCACTACAACATACAAAAGAGAGATTGACTTAGAAAGTCACTTACTATTTTTAAAATTATTTGATCAGCTATAGTTTAAAGTTACACTGGGCTTTTCCTCCTCTAAGGGCTTATTATGCCGTCTCAGTCGCCATTTTGTGGATGGACAAGATCAGCCGTCTTTGCTCAATGCTATCTCAGAAATTATAATATTTTAAAATAGGCACTATTTCTATAAACTCGAAGTTGCAATCTAAACAACTAATTGGACAACTCATCAAGCTGTGTGACAATTAACCAATACCAGCACTCTCCAAACCGTTTGTTCCGTCTGCAGCAAGTTCCAGGCAAGCGCCTTTGTTTGTTTATAATAGGGATTACCTAATTAATAACTTTATTCCACCTTGAGTTGGCGAAAAGGGGTAAAATGGAAGCGCTAGCAATGCATAAAGCAGCTCTTTATTTGAGCTTGCTACAAGAAATATTATATTTGACAATATTATTTATTCTATTTCCACAGCAGAACTTAAAATAATTGTTTGTTGATGTGAGATTAATCAAAAGAATGATTACAAATACAGACAAGTTAACTATTTTTTAGCTCTTTTAGCGTTAACAGTACAATGAGCCATAAAGTAACTCAGTACTACTCATTACTAGTTCTTAAGTCAAATTACAATCTTTAACTGATGCTAGCTCTGTTTAGCTGTCAGTTGGCTCAGCTGTTTACATATCAACTTGTGATTTAAATTCATAGCAGAAGAAAGTACACCCTCATTCAAAAGGATTTTTGAGACCCTCTTTGTTTGATTTTATTTTTAATATACACGATTAAGGTGTTGAACTAATGTATAAACACAATATCATACTTGTTGCTGTGTGTTATGGCAAAATATCAGAACTTCTGATTCTGATATTTTCCCATACATGGCAACTCATATATATATATATATATATATATATATATATATATATATATATATATATATATATATATATATATATATATATATATATATATATATATATGCTGAGCACTACACACACACACTCACACACACACACACACATATATATATATATATATATATATATTAAGGGTGGAGCCGAACCCGAATACGGTATTCGGAAAGGCACGAATAGCATGTTTTTACGAATACTTATTTCGAACAAATACTTGAAAAATGATTTGTATTCGGGAGCAAGAAAAACACTATATAAGTGCATGCCCGCGTGAGTGAGTGGTTGAGAGAGAGAGAGAGACGCTCAGTCGGAGAGTGGGGCGGAGGTGTCTGGCACAAGCTTCTCCACAGATACAGACAGAGAAGGCTCGGCTGAGCGAAAAAAATACTTCACTGCATCACTATTTTTGTTAAATAGATTTTTGTACCTTAATTGGGTTTCAGATGCAGTTTATAAACTTGTAGCGGAGTTTGATCGGGATTGGGAAGTTTGCAATCGGGTGCTTTCTGTTTACGCAACGTTAGCTCTGTTAGCGCGGTAATTTAGACAATAGACTGTTGACAGAGTAACGTTAACGTTCTTTTATAAAGGTTAAAACGATGCTTGTGCAGTTGTGTCGAATAGTATGCACTTAAGGGAGTTATATGGTATGTCTACATTACTGTCTTTTGCAGACAGCAATATATATGCTATAGACTTACATAGTATAGTATAGTATTATATAGAATACTTTTGTTCTGCCAGATCTCCCAGGCAGGGGTTTATTTAGATTTATTTAGTTAATTTTAGTTTTTGGAATTCTGTCCATTGGAAAAAAAGTTCTTTCTGAAGAAGAACAGTTTTTTGAAATATTATTTGTTTTTATTCTGTCTATTCAGTGTCCTTCAACAAGAACGGTGGTGGTGGGGTTCATAATATTCACGATGGTATTTTATTAGTTGTTGGTTTAACCATGGATGAGATAATGGCTTCTATGTTATTTTCTTTTCAATGACATTTCTTGTCACATGTTCAAAAACAACAACCAATATTGCATGTCTATAATTTATATAATGGGTATAATTAAGCAATACTTTCACTATAATGTAAATTAGAAGTGTAATAGAAAAAATATATATTTTTGCGCCATTTTGAATTTTACTCGAATACAAATACAAATACTTTCCCCCCCTCAACAAATACAAATACCGGCTGCTCCTCACATCCCTAATATATATATATATATTATAACACATTATAATAAACACATTATAATTTGTTTTCTATATTTACGAGTCCATTTCCCCTCATCTTTTTCCAACCAGCCGCATGCTGCTTCACTACATCAAGCAACTACTTCTTTGCCACTGTATGATAGTCATTCCCCGTCACCTCCAAACTGGACACCTGCTCCTTCCCCTGCACATTGGTCACCTGCTCCTTCACCTGCACATTGGTCTTCTGATCCTTCACCTTCTCAAACAGATCACTGGTCACCTGAACACTCTGTTTCCACTCTGCCATCTTCTGTAACAACTGATAATTATGAAACAATGATTGATCAGTATAACACATTGCAAAGGTATTTTAAGCTATATATTTTCACACATATTACAGCTGAATATTTTACCTTTCTGTTTTAGAGTTGATCTGCAAATGATTTTTAAGAAGCTTCATAGCAGAGTTGATCTCCTGAGTTGTCCGACAAGCAATCAAATAAATGTATATCGAGACAACATACTTCAAGGCAGCCTGCAAGCATTTAAGCGAAGGCGGTTTAATCCTGAAGCAAGGCTGGATGTAATTTTTGTGTATTCTGATGGGGTTGGAGAAGGAGCTGTAGATGAAGGAGGACCAACCAGGGAATTCCTTTGCTTGCTAATGAGGGAAATACAGAAGTCCAAAATATTTGAAGGACCAGAAGACAAGAGACTACTGGCACTTGATACTCATGGTAAGTTTTATTTTGTTTGCTTTTATTTATTATTATTGTTATTAATATGAAAAGTAAAAATATAAAAAGACAACAATTTTTTTTTCAGCTGTTGAGAATGGCTTGTACATGGCGATTGCAAAAATGATTGCAGTATGCATAATTCATGGTGGAGTAGGCCCCCATTTCTTTTCAAACGTCTTTTTATGCAAATCTGTGGTCAGTGTACACTTCCTGTGTCCCTTGAGTAAATAGCAGACAGCAGTTTCAAAGAAAATCTCTCAAAGGTGATTGCAACTATAGATTTGTTTTATCTACACAGGTATTTGTTATATTGCCATGCTTTGTAATTTCATGGGATGTCACTCAATTATTTTCTGGTAGATTAAAGATGCAGACTCTGTTGATACAGCAAATATTGCCATTTTAGATGCTGGAGACAGTCTGTACATGATGGGAGCCCTAAGGTACATCTCATCTCTTGAAGAGAGGGACTCCCTCGTCCAATCTGCAGCGGAATACTTTGTGAATGGGCGGACAAATTTGGCTCTCAGACAGTAAGTATTTATCAAGTATTCATTAGTAGTCATTTCAAAAATTAAAATTTCATTAAAACTGCATTTGTTTTTACAGATTTGAAGAGGGTTTCAAAACTCTTGATCTGATTGACGAGTTTAGGAACCATCCTGAAATTTTTGAGGACGTGTTCATCAATGCAGTCAGACCACTTGAGGCAAAAGATCTGTCCACTCTCTTCGAGGTGGACTTCTCACCTCTTGGCAGCAACAAAAGGCAGCTAGAAAATAAGACTGTCTGCTTTTGGAGAGACTGGCTAATTGATGTTAAAGGTACATTTTAAGGATTTATTGTCCAAACATACCCAAACCGGTAGAATCAAAATTATTTATTAATGTAATTTGAGATATTAATTTCTTAAAAAGCTACATTTTTTTATTATTTTTTTTCATTGACAGTATTTTGTAACAAAATGTATCCTTTTAAACCTTAATCTGTTTATTTTGGTTTGTCTAAAGACTATATAGCTTTAAAACAATAAAAAAATCAAGTTAGTAAAACCTATATTCCGGCCAGGTTTTATTAATAAAACATTAAAAGAAGTCTTTGTTAACTCTAGGTGCTGTTTAGATTTTTCTTGAGTGCCTTTTTCTGTCCCATCAAATATTCTATAATATTCATATATCAATAATCATGTGATTACAGAAGGTGACTGCAATCCCTTGACATTGGAAATGGTGCTGGAATTTGCTTCTGGAGCCTCATCAGTGCCTCCACTTGGATTCCCCCATCAGCCTAAAATCGAATTTCTCCATACCTTTGGTCAAGAAATCAGAATTTTTCCAGAGGCCAACACATGCCTCATTGTTCTTAGACTTCCAATGCACAATACTTACGAATCCTTTAGAACCTACATGACTGAAGGTATTTTGCAGTCGCCAACTTTTGGCACAATGTAAGTATCCACATACCTTGTTCATGTAAGGGTGATAAATGAACGAGTTCATGTTTCAACATAGTTTTACAAATGATTAAATCAATTGTTAACATATTTTCACCCTTATTCCAACTTATACAACTTTTTACTGTTGTACCATTCTTTTCCTTTAACTGCAAAAAAGCTTTCCTTGCTTAGATTTTTTTGTCTTGTTTCTAGTATAAATATCTAAAATTTCTTATATCAAGAATAATTTTCTAGACAAGCAAAACATATTGTCTTGTTTGGAGAAATATTATGCCAATATTAAGTGAGTTTTTCCTTAAAACAAGCTAAATAATAAGCTAATGGGGTAAGCAAATTAATCTTGTTTTTTCTTTTGACGTAAGATTATTTTGCTTACGCCATTGGCAGATTATTTTGCTTGTTTTAAGGAAAAACTCACTTAATCCTGGCATATTACTTCTTAAAACAAGACATGTTTTGCTTGTCTAGAAAATTATTCTTGATATAAGAAATTTTAGACATTTATACTAGAAACAAGAAAAAAATCTTAAGCAAGAAAAGCTTTTTTTGCAGTGTACTGTTAATTTGTTTACATTTATAGATAATAATTTTAAAATATTCCCCTAATCATTTATGATTCTCCTAAGTTGAAAAAGTTTACAATATTAAAACAGCAATACAACAAAAAAACAATCAATTTGATGGCAATTGTCCAAATCTTTTGTTTATAGCATGAATCGAGACCTGAATGCATTTAAAGGGGCAATATCTATATGTTTTTACTGCTACAGTCACATGTTCAAAATAAAAGTGAAGTTTATTTACTCTGTTTTGGTGAGACTTGCTGCACTTCCCCATTTGGGTCACCTTAACCACGCGTGTAATCAGTTATTGTTTTGCCACAATAAAGTAAATGTTGTTTTGTAATTATTCTGGGCCTAATTAAATAATAGTGTGTTTATAACATTTAACAATTAAGGATCAAATTCAGCACAATTCCTAAACTATGTTGTTCAACAAAGTTAAAAATGTGTTTGAGATAAAAGTTTTTATATAGATATTATTATTACTTATGTTTGAAGTCAATCAAACTGGTAAAAAAAAAAATTCCCCAAAAATGAATTAAAAGTCTTTTTTAAGATTACAAAGCACTATCAAGACAATTTACCTATTTATAAACTTGAAGCATATATTTCTAAATGTTGGCAACATAACAGCCAACTACACTGTCAAGTGCACTTTGTGTATGAAGGTCTTGCCTTAGAGATAGAGTATTTATATTTATGATAGAAGAGTATCTATCCATGTGTTCTGACAATAGAGAATCGAAATTACATTACTCTCAGACCCAAGGTGCCTAAAATATAATATTAATATAAAAAGTAGAGTTTTAAGAAAAAGAAAATTTACAATATATAAAATTGTACGTAAAATGTGGTCTAAAAAATATAGTAAATAATAAAATTTGTAAACAATACAATGCCATTAAGGGCATATAGCAAATGAGTGCAAAGTAAACCAGTTGTGCAGATAAAGAACATGCTGATGAGAGAATGGTTAAAAAGTTGCATTTGTGTGTACTTTTGTTATGTGTGAGAGATAAATGGATCAGAGAGAGATAAAAAAGGTATCTAATCTTATGTAATTAGGAAATATCAGGAATAATAAAAGATTAATTTAGATCCCAAACATAACAGGGCTAAGAAATATATGAAATCATGAACTATGCTCATGGATTAGGTATTGAATATTTTTTATTACCTGAACCTTTCATTTATTCAAAGAGCAAACAAATTATACAAAGAAATGGAGCAATGACTATATATTAACAGCAGTTTGACTGATTTCAGTCTGAAACTTTAAATGAATGCATGTTTGCCGGCAATATTGCATATTACAAAAAGTTTAAACTGACATTTATAAAGAGCCTGACATTAACTAATTGTCATTGCATGTTGCAGGAGCAAACACACTATCATTTTGTAACTCAGGCAGCTTGTACTATGTTTGCAATTTCTCTGCAGCATGTCTGATATTTAACTGTAGTATCTGAGATGGTCTCAATTGCCTGCAAAATATTTTGCTGCTGCTGATGGCTCAGACTAATTCTGGGTTGTTCCACAACTACAGCTGGAAAATGATCTTCCTCGTCATCAGTGACAGGAAAATTGTTTATGCCATGTTGTGCCAAAAGCTCTTGTTGAGTGTATGTGCTATACAGATCTTCACCAAAAACATTGCTGATGGCTCTGCAGTTTGCCTCCATGTTGGAAATCATTCCTTCAGTCGAGATTTGGACAGGACTTCTGTTGTGCTCTGTTCTTATTTTATGGTGATTCCATCATTTAATAAAACCAAAAGTAATAATAATAATAATAAAGTATGTGCATCTAGAATATCCTAATAGCACTAGCAATAGATTGCTTATTATAGCACTTGTGTCAAAGGCCCTTAAAAGCTAATGCACAGGCCAAAGAGTATAGCCATGAGACTCAAATTTAGAGTTAAGTAAAAATGCAAAATTATTTAAAAACTTAATTTTGCAGGCAACGCGGTGGCGCAGTAGGTAGTGCTGTCGGCTCACAACAAGAAAGAAGGTTGCTGGTTCAAGCCTCAGCTAATTCAGTTGGCATTTCTGTGTGGAGTTTGCATGTTCTCTGTTTATGTGGATTTCCTCCGGTTTCCCCCACAGTCCAAAGACATGCGGTACAGGTCTAAAATAGTAAAAATAGTGAAGCTAAAATAGTGCGTAGTCTATGTGTGTAAATGAGTGTGTATGGTTGTTTCCCAGTAATGGGTTGCGGCTGAGAGGGCATCTGGATGAATAAACTTAACTTTGCAAACAAATATAAACACATACATCACACACACACACATCAACAAAAAAAGCTAAAATGAACCGTTTTGTTACCCATCACAAGGGCCAGACAGAATCTGCAGACATTTTTGGCTATTTCTGCGCAGAATTTTGTTAACAATCTGCCGATTTATGCAGAATGACTTTGGGAGTATCATAACTAAAACCTGAATATATGAAATAAAAGGTAATATCTTTTAACTTGCATTTAATATTTACAATGCAACTCCAATTAGATTCACTTTTAGTAAACAAATCAAGTCTTCTATATAATATACTAAAAGGCAGAAGATATTACTTTACAAACTGTATTGTAAATAACTCATATTAACATTTTCATATTAGTCCAGCTGCAACCCATCTCTCGCAAACATCCATACACACTCATTCACTCAAACACTAATGACAATTTAGCCCACCCAATTCACATGTACCGCATGTCTTTGGAATGGGGGGGAAACCGGAGCACCCAGAGGAAACCCACGCGAACGCAGGGAGAACGAGCAAACTCCACACAGAAACACCACCTGACCCAGCAAAGGCTCAAACCAGCGACTTTGCTGTTAGGCGACAGCATTACCTACTGCGCCACCGCATTGTCACAATTGTGGATCTGTCTGTTCTTCTATGATGTGTCTGCGTGTGTGTATGTGTGTTTCTGTGTGTGTGTGCGGTGTGGTGCGTTATGCGTATATGCGTGTATGAGTGTGTGTGTGTTTGGGTGTCTCTGTGTCTGTGTTAGAGTTGCGTTGCTGTCAGTTGTGTTTACTTTATCAGCTGGGTGGTCACGTGTACGCTGTCACCAGCCTTGGCGTGCGCAGCACCGCTCAGCTGTAATCAGCGGACCACAGGTGCAGCGCATTACCGCGACTATATATGTTCAGCGTTTCTGTCTCACAGTGTCAGTTCGTTATCTTCACGTCTGTTTGTCTGTGTCCTGTCAGGTTCCGGTCACTGAGTTCTGGTCGTGTGTCGCGGGGCGAGCTCTTTGTTTGGACTCTTGTACCTTCTCTGTTGACGGCTCTCTGATCTTGTTCTACAGTGCTCCCTGTTCTATTATTACATTTCCTGCTGCTTGCTTGACTCAAATCATCTGCCTGCGTTCATCCTTCTGTTATTCTGTCTGAGGCAATAAATATCTTTTACTTGCAATTGGGTCTCCCTGTATTTCGTGACGGAACGAACTGACCACTGAGATGGACCCAGCAAGTGTTTCTAAGATCCAGGATTTCCTCGCTCACAATTCAGCCTGACTGGATCATCAGGACAAACAAATGGCAGTGACCAGCCAGGCCATTGAGGCGCTGGTCACGCAAGTTTCTGAGCTCACGACTCAGGTTCAGAGACTGGGTTCTGAGCTTCGTACTGAAGCCGTCCAGCAAGCTCCTCCCACTATTCCACCAGCAGCTCATGCGCTAGAGGAGACCCCCAGATCCACTGAATCGCGACTTCCACCACCAGCATGTTACGCCGGTGAACCAGAATTGTGCCGGTCATTTATAGCAAAATGTTCACTTTACATCACGCTACAGCCTTCGTCTTTCCCTAACGAAGAGAGTAAGGTGGCGTTTACGATCAATTTGCTGACAGGTAAAGCGGCACTTTGGGGTACCACTGTTTGGGAGCGTAAACTCCCCTGCTGTAACTCCTTTAAAGCTTTCTCAGAGGAGTTAAAAACTGTATTTGACCGAGCGGTCTCTGGCAGAGAGGCGGCTCGTAAGCTCGCTGAACTCAGACAGAATAAGTTGAGTGTTGCTGAATATTCCATTGACTTTCGTACTCTGGCGGCCGAATGTAAATGGAATGCCGAAGCTCAGTGGGACATGTTTTTGCACGGACTAGCAGATTATATTAAAGATGAAATCTACGTCATGGATCTGTCTAAGACACTAGATGGGCTTATTGATTTAGCCATCAGAGTGGACACTCGGTTACAACAGAGAGGTTCCCACAAGAAACTGCACACTCCACTTCTTCCCACGCAATCTCTTTTTGTTGCATCTTCTGACCCCCCCTCATCTGATCTCGAGCCGGAACCCATGCAGATGGGCAGATTTCGGCCTTCCACGGAGGAGAGGCGTCGTCGCCGCATGGAAGGACTGTGCATGTACTGTGGAGTCGCTGGACATTTTGTGGCTTCGTGTCTAGCCAAGAATAAGAATTCGTCGCCGGGTAAGAGTTTACTGGCTGGTGAAATCACCCTTGACAAGTCCCCTAACACAACCATGCTGCCAGTCAATCTATCTTTTAACTCTATCATGCACCACTGTCATGCGCTCATCGACTCCGGAGCCGAGGGGAATTTTATTGACTCTAAGCTGCAGG